ATAGCTTGGTCGATTGGAACAACTGTTTGTTTGAAATTTCGCGACAAATAATCCGCAATAATCATATCTTTGCCTGGAACATATTTCACTGATATTTGGTAATTTATCAATTAAGCATCAATCTTCGCAAACGATCAAAAATAATCAATGACTCTCGGGTCAACCTTGTCACCTTATTGGCTACAAGTCTCTAACTAATAATCACCATCTCTTCTTACTTGAGGGTTCGAGGGTGAGATGTGTTTAAGATAATCTCAAGAATATCAATACTTCAAATAATAAATGTCAAATTCGGCTATCTATATTGCTCTTTTCCGAAATAAGGTTAGTTTATATTGTTGGTAGGTTGATAGCAAATGATAACAAGAAGAGTACAGTTTTAAGTTTGGTACCCACCAACCAACTATTTGATGCTAGTATGTATTTTACCCACCAGACACCCAGTATATGATTTACCGTGTATGCGATTTACACTAACTTGACAAATCACAGATCAGGTCTTTCATTTTCAAGGAATTTTGTACAGAACTGGCCGGGAATCTAGGAGATTAGTGCCATTTTAAGAGCTCTACTCTAATTGTTTGGTATGAGATCAAGCTGGAGGCTTTTAAATATTGTTCACTGTTGCCTCTCAAAGATTGTTGGTCTGATGATTTTTTAAGGTAACTGATGTGTTCTGGATGTATCATTGATCAGACCTTGAGATTTTTAAAGTGATTTGTCAAGCTCAAGTGACGTGGTCGAACTGGCATGCGATGTATCGCATTGCATTGGTCAGAAATATTAGCAAATTTTGAATTTTTAGCTTAAAAAAGGGCAATAGCGCCTGCGTAGGAGCCTAAAAAATCATTCTAAACCCAAAAAATTAGCAAAATTCAGAGAAATGAAAGCAGCATAGTGTTTGAAAAAACGCAAAGCCAGGAGAAAAAGGCTCAATACACAATTTTTTGAGGATGAAGAGGAGTATAATCGGCTAAACAAAATAGTACCAAAGGGTCTGAATACCTTTGGGTATGAGAAATTCGAAAAATTCATTTCAAGTCTAAGCCCACGCAAGACTGATCATTATACTTTGTGGAAAGCCACAAAGTCGTTTAAAAGACCACAGCAAATAAAGTTTCCAATACAGAGAGGGGATAACACCAACCAATAATGAACCTGGGCAACCAATAGTGAAAAAAAGGCAGATGTGATGGCCTCACATCTTGAAAATGTGTTTCAACCTCATCCTGCTAAGATTCGTATAATTAACGAAAATGAGGATATTCACAATTTAAGTTTTTTACCGGACTCAAAGATAATTCCTATCACTTATGATGAAGAAATTAGATCTAAAATTAAATTACGCAAAGCTCCTGGCTTTGATTTGATCTCAGGCATCATATTTAAACTGCTTACTTTTAAGGCCATGCAAAAACTTGTTCAGATTTTCAACGCTGTGCTCAAATTGAAACATATTCCGTCACAGTGGAAAAAGGCAGAAATTATTTTAATTCTTAAATCCAGTAAGCCAATATCGGCTCCTTCCTCATATCGGCCCGTATCCTTATTACCTATTATGGGCAAAATATTTGAGAAATTGTACATTAAAAGACTTTTGAAAATTATTGATAAAGAACACTCACTAATAAATGAGCAGTTTGGATTCCGATGCAAACATAGCACATTAGAACAACTTCATCGTATTGCAAACTTCATAGAAAAAGCACTGGAAAAAGGAGAATTTTGCAACGCAGTCTTTCTTAATGTGGCTCAGGCGTTTGATAAGATGTGGCATGAAAAGTTAAAATATGAACTGTCCAAAATCCTCCCTGGAAATCATGCTAAGCTTCTTTTTGCGGGTATTGATAATAAATTCTTCCATGTTAGATTTAACGATGCGTACTCATCTTTTAAATCAGTCAAAGCCAGGGTTCCCCAAGGATCTGTCCTCTCGCCTCTCTTATATAGTTTATTCACTTCTGATATCCCTAAACCGAAAGGCAACTCCAATATGGGCGTGTATGCAGATAACACTACGGTGCTCTCAGCTGCCCCTACCTATAAAGAAACAGTTAACAATTTGCGAAGTATGTTAAAAGATATTGAAGACTGGACCGATGAAGATAGAACTGTCTTAAACGCCTCCAAGTCGGAAAACGTAGCCTTCACAAATAGAAAATATGTGTATGAGCCTTTAATTTTAAACAACACACCTATCCCCTTCGCCAAAACAGCAACATATCTGGGACTTGCGCTTGACTCTAAATTAAGACACAAACAACATATCCTCATTAAAAGAAAACAAATTGAAATCAAGGTACGCAAAATGTGATGGCTATTCGGACGCAAATTAAAACTGCAAAACAAAATTCTCGTCTACAAAACAAAGATAAGACCAATATGGTCTTATATGCATGTCAAATCTGGGCCTGCGCAGCAAAGTCAAATATAAAACAATCAGAAATAACTCCAAATTTAACACCAAGGAAAATTTTAAATGCTCCGTGGTAGCTCAGTAACAAAGCTATCCGTACGGAACTGGGAATCGAGACAATCGAAGGCTACACTAGTAGACTGTATAACAGGTACGAAGAGCGCCTGTCCTCCCATCCCGATCTGGAAGCTCTTATGTTCCTTGATTGGGCGGGGGATCTGCGCCGACTAAAGAGAAAAAAACCGCACAATTTAGTCACCCCAGACCCAGACTTTCTTAAAATTTAACTTCCCTCATTTGTGTATCGCCGATACTCGCCTTTGTCGGCGGCAATATTGGCCCGCATCTTAAGAAGAAAGTTGCTATTAGCAGTAGGTAGGAGTCTTAAATTGTTATGCCTTGTTAGCTTTTGCCACTTTTGCACTCTTTCCTTGTCCTTTCTGTATTTTATTTACGTTTTTGTTTTTAATTTTAATTATTTATTTATTTATTCATTCATTTATTAATTTATCTATTTCCTATTATTATTATCCTAAACCTTCACTTCAATTCTTTTCAATTCTCTCAATTTTCTTACCAATCTTTGTTCATTTTTTATCTGCATAAAGTGGTTTATTATTGTAATACTGTCTGATACATATTCAGTTCAAATTTGTAAAGACCTGTAAGGACTGAAAATGAGTTGGAATCTACTTTACTTTAATTACAAATAAAAAAAAAAGTGTTTGGAAAAAAACCTCGCATTCGATTCAGCTATCGATTTCTGTATTGAATGCGAGGTTTTTCTCACCATTCTGCTTTCATTTCTCTGAATGTTGCCAATATTTGGGTTAAGAATGATTCTTTAGGCTTAAACGCAGGGGCTATCGTCCTTTGTTTTGCTAAAAATTCAAAATCTGCCGAGATTTTTTACCTAATCAATGCGATCTATTGCATGCCAGTTCGATCACGTCACTTGAGCTTGACGAATCACCTCAAGGTATCTTGTGCTGAGCTGGCTAAAAAACTAAAGTAATTGTGCAAGGTTAGGTCCAGTTTGTCCATGGAAAAAAATAACCAGTCCATTATCGCATGTGCCCAGCCTGGGTTATGTCTTTGTTAGCATTAGAACGCAAACGCTGATTCCATCTTCCATCCTCTCCCCCCCCCCACTACAATCCTGTCTCTGCATTTCCACTACAATGGAAATCATTTATCATGGGTCTTGACAACAAGCATTAAGAACACCACCCAATTGGAATTTGTCCATACGGATTGGACTTCTACGCAAGGCACACATTAAAGTATTAAGATACTTGATTTCTCCTCAAAATTTCATGTAAAACATTATTTGAGGGGCGAGGAGAAGAAGGCGCTTGAGTGCTGTTTTTGAAAAAATTGAGATCTTAATGATTTCAAGTGAAATTACAGTCCTACCTAATGCATATTCTGCGAAAAATATGCTCCCAAATTCCAATTTTCAAGCATCAAAAAGTCAGTATGAATTTTCTCTCCGACACGAGGATCCATTTAATTCGAAACTTGCAACAAAAGTATTTCTCGAATTATCAAAAACTGTGCTTACGTGCCTTGTCCTCCAAGATCCTCAAAGTGTGTTGTTCAAAGTGTTAACAATTATTGTTTTTGTCTTGCAAACTGGGAATGTCTATTTAATATGTATAACCAATCCAAATGCTGCTATTGACTACCTTTATTCTGTGCTGAATGATGCAATTTATAGCTCTGTACCACTGAACATGCGCACTGTTAGATCACTCATCCACACCAGTAAATCTCATGGATGAGCTATGTTGTTTGTTGAATTATATTTTGTACCGTAAACTGAGAAAAAAATAAAGGATTGAATGGAATAGCAAGTCAAAGTTTCCTGCATGGTTTTCGCAGGACTTGATTTGCATGGTCAAGCTAAAGAATAGGTTAGCTGTTAAGAAGAAAATGTCCAAACACTGTTTAAATAGGTTCAAGGAACTCAGATCTGAAATAAAAAAGAGCATCTAATACAGCGTCCAAAATGTACATGGTTAAGTTGCAAGCTAATGTAAAAACAAATGTCAAAACATTTTAAAATTACTTGAGTAGCAGAAGAAAGACGTCTGTGTTGATAGGTAAATTGACGCTGTATGGAGTTAGATATCTTCGTGTTCACTTAGCACAAGGTTTTGCAGATCACTTTTCTTTGGTATCTGTTTCGCATGAAACAGAAGTTACCAGCATTCGGAATGATAATCTCGCAAACAAGGTACCAGCTATGCATAATAGTGACAATGAGCACCCAGAAGTACATATGTTCATCTGACATAGTTTTAACAGTGCAGATGCTTGACGAGTGAAACCTCCCAGGCGTTGCCACTGTGGAACGTCTGGATTGTCTTGCCTTGCCTTGCCTTGCCTATCAACACAAGGCTGTCCCTATTCCTTGTTCAGTGAGTCTTGATAAAAAATGTCATAGTTTTCAGTCAAGAAAGGTTAAATTAAAAGACCCGGGTTGAGTTCCTCAAATAGGTGAATTCTCACTCTATCACAATAATCCTTGTGTGTTAGCTTGTTTCGGAGCCGTATTAATGTTCTGCTTTATCTTTTCAAGGCGTGACCCGGCCAGTCTAGTAAATCCTCTGAAAAAAAATGGCGATCCTGCAAAGGATAACAAGTACAATGAGGAGTTAGAGAAGCTTAAATCAAAAGCAACCAGGCATTTAATTCTCATCAGGCATGGTCAATACTATCTCAGTGGCAAAACAGATCAGGAGAGAGTGCTGACACCTCTTGGTATGTCTTAAGTTGTACAACTTCTTCATTGAAACAAATTGCTCCCTCCGTTTGAACAGAATTTGTCCACTTTGTGGCCCTGCAAGAAACTCACACTCTTATCGTGAAAAATCAAACCATGCCAACAACTAGAGGCTGTCTTTTTAGGTGCGTAAACACAGTATACTGCCTAATGCACTTGTTACCACACCTGTCTGATCAAGTTCCCCGAGCCCTTCTGAGTAACAGTGTTGCAGGCTAGCTGTGATATTTGTTATGCTTGCCCACAAGCTAATATTGCTTCAGTCATTTATTTTGTTGCTTTCTTGCAAATCTACGGACTTATTGGTATTAAATACTGAAGATGAATGGGCAACGTTAGGTATTCAATTTTTTTAAGAGCTTTAAAATGATAGGAAAAAACAATCAAAAATATTGGAAGCTTAGCCTATCAAAACACAAGGAAATAAATGTGATAAAATTGTAATGCCACTATAAGGCTATCCACCCCAATTCCTTAGAGGCAAATTACAGGCGACAATCCAGTAAGCTAAGCCCTGTTTGGGTGAATATTTAATCAGGACTTCATTTTCTTATTGGTTCCTTCACCATCAAAGCAGCACAAACAAAAATAATTTAAGCTTTACTAGGTCACAGTGTCTTTTTCTGAATGTTTAAACAAAGTTTCTCTTGAATTGCCTCAAGAATTTGAAATTGGTAGGAAGAAGCCGAAGCCCCTCAATTCTTCATTCCTTGCCAGATCCCTCAAGAACCGCTCCATTGTTGTTATGGTTCTTTTCTTTCTTACAGCCATTTTTTTCTCTCTTTTTTTGGCTTCTATTCCTTCTATGATAGACTGGGAATCTACAGCCATCTATAGACTTGTATGGTTACAAAGCGAGATAAAAATAGAAGAAGTAGGGAATTTTTTTTTTTTGGTACCTATATATGCCAAGGGTATATTAGGGAGTTAGGGAAAGAGATAGAAGAATAAAGTGTCCCTATACCAGCTTCACGCTAAGAGGCTCGACATAGCGACTTTCTACAGCCCAGTTGACTGAGCCGTGGAAAACTAACCTAAAGCGAATTTTATTTAGAGGTTCGGCACTACTTTTGTGCTTGAACCTCCGAGCTGCCATTTTATTTCAGTTCGAAACTTCCGATTCGGTGACAAATGAATCGCAACGTTGGTGCGTGATTTTGGTACTACCTCGCGAGGTGGTTCTGAAAGAGGTTCGATTCATTGAAAACCAACGGATCTGATTGGTCGAATCTGGTAGCAACGGTGTACACCAGTGGTGGTGATTGATGAGACAAACCGGGGTAGAACTTCCCAAAGAGGCTCAGAACATAAAATCAAATTCGCTTCAAGGGAACAATCAGGGCAGATTAGTTAAGTAGGGGTTTGAGAGGTTGCAGGGCTCTTACAGCCTCCATATAAAGTATAAATAAATCCAAACAGAATAAAAAACCTGAAGAATTTAAAAAAACGGAAAATTAACAAATATTAATTAAATATATAAAAATAATAAAGAAGATCTGGAATAATCCTCATCAAGGGATCTCAAAGCCCGAAAAGGGTAAAAATCTTTTGTATTTTTGAGAAAATCCTGAAATACAGGGTGTTAGAAAAGTCTTCCCACCTCAAACTTTTTACCTAATTGAGGTAAAGATTTGAAACATAGAGGACGTTCCTAGGTCCAAAGGAGCTACTTCTTGATCCCCTTAAAATTTCCAGGGGGCAACCTGGGGGGAGGAGGGCCAAATTTTTTTCAAATGGAAAGACCCCCTTCGTGGCTCTCGTTCGGAAGAGCATAAAAAAAAGATAATTTTTCGTGCAAACCTGAAGTCATTATCTTAAACCATCTCAAAATGGTCGCAAATTGGCGCCTCGGCTATTTACACATGGATTTCCCTAAAGTTCGGTAGGTATCTGACAGTAGTTCTGCACAAGAATAACGAATTTTACATTAGATTTTTGAAAATAAAACCTAATTTTTCTAAACGGCGGCCGGTTAAGGTTCAAAGTGGCCGAAAATTGTCAAACTAGATTTTTTGACGATGAAATCGCCTGAATCTCGGTATTTGGGGGGTATTTTGGTACAAGTAAAACGAATTTGACGTCAGATTCAATCGCTGAAATCAAGTTCGTCAATTTTTGGCCATTTTGATTTGTTTCAATTATCTTAACGTCAAATTCGCTTTTCTCGTGCAGAAATATCACCAGATACCAAGCTTCAGGGAAATCCATGTGCATATAGCCGAAGTGCAAATTTTTGGCCATTTTGAACTTTAACCGGTCGCCATTTTGAAACGGTTTAAGATAATGACTTCGGGTTTGCACAGAAAATTTTCTTTTTTTTATGCTCTTTCAAACGAGATACCACAAAGGGTGTCTTTCTATTTGAAAAAAAATATTAGGGCCCGTCCCCTTTCCATCCAAAGGGGGCACCCTGAGAATTCTAGGGGGGTTTAAAAGCATCTCCCTTTGACCTAGGAACGTCCTCCAAGTTTCAAATCTCTTCAATAGGTAACAAGTAAGAAGGGGGGGGGGGGGNTCTTCTCTAACATCCTGTACCGACTCTAAATCTTATTGTTTAACATAATGAGAGCTAGGTTTGCATCATATCTTTAAATGAATGAGGCCTCTCTCACTTATCTGTGTAATAAATGATGGTACCATTCTTTCCATTCAGGGCGGCGACAAGCTGAATTAACAGGTTCCAGGCTTCAGGCCTTAAACTTGCCCTATAATTCTATTATCCACTCATCGATGCAGCGTGCCATAGAAACTGCAACAATTATTCACAAATTTTTGCCGGATGTTCCTATGAGTAGTTGTTCAATGCTTGAAGAAGGTGCTCCGTATCCTCCAGAACCGCAAGTCTCTCACTGGAAACCTGAAGCAGTGGTGAGCATCAGTGTCTTCACTCCAAACTATTTGTCCTTTTTGCCACAAGTTCAGGTCACTTATGATTCTGACCTAAGTCTGTCTGATTTTTCTTCCGTGTCCAGAGTAACAAAAAAAATAACCTCGCTGATAAGATAAATATTCACATACACAAACTCAAATAATTTTCAACTTCATTGCTTTGTCAGTGCCTGAATTAAAGTCATCCCCAGTGCTGATGGATTTAATTACTTGCGTGAGTATACTTGCACCATTATTTTAATTTTAAATTATTCATTTCTAAAGCTCAGCTTTTTTAGTATGTAAGTAGATTTAGGCCGGGCGGTATCTGGCGATTATCCGGATTGCCGAATTCCGCATATCCAGCTCTGGCCGGATGCGATTTTCGCGGGTATCCATATCCGGCTGGATAATTGCGCTATCCGGTTTTTGGACCCATCGGATTGTACTTTTCGGCCATGAAAATTACGGGAAATTGTTGGTGATATTTTGGCGCTTTTCGGCTCACTTCGACTAGTCATGGTTAGTGTTCAACTTTTCGAAACTTGTCATTACCGGAATTAAGTACATTTTCCGCGAATCAACACGATTGCAACGTAATCCTTAGTCCCTTACGGCTGCGTGTTTCAATTTCAAAGGCGAAGAATGCAGATAGAAGAGGAAAAAAACAATTCCACTAACAGATGAACAAGTTCCCCGTTGGTAACATTTTTAGTCCAAGCATAAATCCGCAAGTATCGTAATCTCGCAGTACGCAGTTTGTCATTGCTGTATCGAATCAAAGGCCAATAAACCGTGCAGAGGGAAACCGTGAAACTCACAACTAAAATTTTCATCCCAAATTTTGCACAAAAACATTCAAAATAAAAACAGAAATAAAATAAGTGTAACGAAGTTTCATTAAACGTTTATAAGTTCCAGAATTCGTTCTCTCCTTACAGCTGGTTAGATGGGTCGAATCCAGAAGACTTCTAATTTTAATGATTGTAACAGAAACAAGGTTTGGGGTTGGGAGAAAGTTCTCGAATTCTACTTTCTGTTGATGGAGTAGATTTAAGAACTTTCTGTCAACCCAAAGTGCTCGTTTTCCCCTGACTCGTCGGTTCATCCGGCCTCTTCTGCGGAGTGTGCTGCACCCATCAAGTAAATAACGGCATTAATTTGACTTTACTTTAATGTATGTAGTTGGGAGGAATCATATTAACCGATTCTACACGGAATGAAAACCCAGCACTGAAAGTTTTGGAACGCGACTCGAGACATTTTGACGAATTTTAAATCGTAAATCTGGCAACACCGCAATTTGAAATTATTTAAATGAGACTTTCCTAATTGGAAACTCTTAGACTGCACATTTCTTGTAAGATTTTGGAGGATATCGAACCTCGAAACCTTCATTTTACCATCAAATTCGATATTTTGGAGTCCGCAACTGAGCAATGGTGCCACAGGGGCAAAAACCTTGCACCCAAGTAGCATTTTGCAACGAAAAAATTGCAATTTAAATGAAATAAAATTTCCAGATGATTTCAACTTTCTTGCAAGAAAATTGCAATTATTTTACAACATCTGACCCCCTCATTGTAAAAAAGTTGCAATTTTTTTTTTTGCAAAGAAATTTCAATATTAACGACCTTTAAATTTCAACCCCTAAATTTTCCGGGGAAATTATAATAATTCGAACCCATGCTTACCTAATGTCCTACGACGTTTAGCAGCATAAAATACCGGGTGCCCTTGAGTGGGCTTGAACCCGACCCGCGAATGTCAGAGCGGAGCACTCTTCCACTGAGCTACAGGGAGCTGATGATGAAGTGGGTTGAAATCACGCCTGTTAAGGCTGTTATCGCATGCATTGCGTCAGTGCGTGGCTCAACATTCATCATAGATTTGATTAACGCCGTTTTTCTCAGGCTTCTTTCTTTTGCCTAAGTATTATTTATTTTTTTTTCGTGTTATTTATTTTTTTCATATTATTTTTGTCTGATTTTTTTTTTCGATATCACGTAATAGGTACTCACACTAAATTTACACCGGTGTAAATTACACCACATACTAACTTGAGAACTTAAAAATATTTTCAAAACTTTCTTAAGGAATATTTTTAACATGCATGTTTACAGGCAATATTTTTGAATTATTTTAAAAATATTTTTTGTAAACATTTTCAAAATATTCATTTAAAATGTTTTAAAAATATTTTGAAAATATCTTAATTACAATATTGCCATGAAAATATTTTGATAAAGGTGACAATATTTTCAAAATATGTTGGGCTATATGGGTTAGGTGAGACATTCAAGTCGAAAAAACTTTAAAACAACTAGAGAATTGGATGCCAGGCACATGGCGTGAATTTGTTACAACATGATTGCACCGAAATTGCAGTCTTTATAGTGCCTTGAAAAAGAAGGTTAGGCAACAAGCATAATCTACATTTCTTGCAAACTTATTGCAATAAAATTGCAACTTTTTAAGCGCCTTCAAATGAACGTATAGGCAACAAGCAAAAATTGCAATCAACTCACAATCCATTGCAATGAAATTGCAATCCATGCTACTTGGGCACGGGCATGAAAATTTCAGGAAATTTGCATCTTATACTAGGTAATAACATACAAAAAATTCAGATCAGTCTAGGCAAGTATGAGGGAAGGGGGTTCAATATGTTGCCCTTAAGCCAGTTTTGCTACTTTACCCTTAATAAACCACAAAAGTGCGTTTATATTTCCAGGAGCTCCAATGATCTATTTCGAAATTGCCCAAAAAAACCCGTCACGGAAACTACCCTCCACCTTCATCTTGAATTTTTGATGCACATACAAAGTTTATTAAAAGTTGATTCAGGGGCTTGATGTCTGGATTCCATAATTAATTTATTCCAATACATAGCAGCTTTATTTATTCCACCTGAAGATTCTGAAAAGCTTGTTTGCGCAAAATGTTTTTGTTTACCTACCGCGTATTCAAACACACCATGTTTAGCTACTTTCCTGTCTTTTTCTCTTTCTACCCTCTGAAGTAATTCTTTTTTTTAGCAGTTTTTACGGGATGGTGCGCGCATAGAAGCTGCATTTCGTAAATACTTCCACCGTGCTCCACCTAGTCAGAAAGAGGACAGTTATGAGATAATCGTTTGCCATGCTAATGTGATCCGTTACTTTGTCTGCAGGTATGTTTTTTCATTCTTCATATGTAAAGTAGTATGAGTCTCAGGTTGATTCCTAAAAAGTAATCCTGAGAATAATTTTTATCATCACAGACATGCAATATACTCATAGCAAAGTCTAATCACAAAGACTGTCTCAGTCTATCTTTGAGAGAATTTATCCTGGAAAAAGATAGTCTGATTGCCTTAAATTTGCGTCACTGAGAATCCTCACTCAAGCCGCAGATATGTTGAATATCCTCTTTATTCTCTGCGTTTTTATCTTGGTTTTGAGCATGGTGTCCACTCTCCAGGACTGGAGAAAACCGGGATTCATCAGGGAATGAAAAATTTCAGTGAAATTTGTTTCAGCAACTAGGAATCTTTTCTTTGAACCATTTTGTTTAAAAATTGTGTGGAAATTTCAAGTACTTATTGTTATTAAGGTTTATTTTATTGCGTCTGAGCCACCATTATTGAACCACCTTTTGAATGACGCATTTGAATTTTCAAATCATCAGAATAATAGGGAATCTTTCATCGACTAGATGATATAAACATCTGGAATGTTTTTGGAGTAAAACATTTGAACGTATGCTGAAGAATCTAGTAAAAGATGAATGATTTTTGGAACTCAAGAATGTCATATGGTATTTCTCAAGAGAATCCCGACAAAGTGAGTTGCCGGATGCCGTTAGGTTAGGTTAGGTTATCGGCTCTCTGATAAATTATCGACATTCTGCTCAATGGACAAGTTCGTGTAAAATTAATGTTTTTATTTAATTTCGGATTTTTAAAATTACTTGGTATTTTGTGAAGTAATTAGTGAGCACTGAACACTTGAAGAAGAGTTATGCCCGACAAGAAGAGTGCAGCGGGCATGTTGCGGACGGCCGGCGCGGCGCGGCCGGCGGCGCTTATGAAATTCTCCCCTGTGCTCTGTTGGGGAGCCTAGAAAGGGGGACAAAATTTGAAATTCCCGCCAATGAAAAAAGCGGGAATTTAAAATTTAGCGGAAATTTGAAGTTAGTGGGAAATGTTGAGTCTTGGTCTGTTGGTAGGGTAAGGTAAATGAATCGGGAGTATGCTTCTTTTCTACAGACCATCCAAAAGAGACAAAACGCTCTGCTCCGTTTTGTTTCAGTCCTGGCATTTTGAAATCTATGCCGATTCTCTCATTTAATTCTTATTGGTCCAATCGCTCCTGGCCAGAAGGAGATTGGACAAATGAGAGTTGAATATGAAAATCTCTCAATTATTTTTGGTTGTTCTATTGTCGAGGTGGGCCTAAGGGAGTTCGAAGCGCCCTCTGGGGGTAAGACCGCGTAGTGGCCAGGGGGCATAGCCCTCTAGTACAGGATAGCTGTACAACTACATGCAGGTATTCCAAGTCCATATGCGCATAGGTCCAGATGTAGTCGTCTTCCCTGCTCAAAGGTTGATTTTCATGAAGTTTGTATCTGAGGAAACGTGACATGGAAAAATGGAACAAGAATTGCTTTCGTGAGAAATTTCCTCGGCCATGGAATGGCTTTCACGAACAATTTTCGCCCTCCTAAAGGGGGGGGGGGGGGAGAGAGGGATAGCGGACCCCAATTTTTTTTTTCAAATGGGAAGACCCTTATTGTGATGCCTTATTTGATAGAGCATAAAAAAAGAAAAAAAATTGCGCAAACCTTAAGTCAATACTTTAAAGTGTTACAAAATACTGGCCGATTAAAGTCCAAGATGCCTGTTTTATGCTCTTTCAAATGTCGTATCACAAGGGGGGTCTAAGGTCTTCCCATTTGAAAAAAAAAGGTGGGGTCCGTTGCCCCCCCTCCTTCCGATGGAGAGCTTCCCTGAAAATTGTAGGCGGACCAAAGTGTAGCTCCCTCTGACCTAGGAACATTCCCCATGTTTCATATGTTAACCTCAGTTAGGTAAGAAAATGGAGGGGATGGAAGGGACTTTTAGGTCAGTCTGTATGCTTTTGAGATCAAAGTTTCATCAACTGTAGACTTTATTTAAATGGGAGAGATAAATTTTTACCCGCATTCTATTGGAGAGCAAGCACAATTTTTTTCAAACTTGCAGAATTTCTCTTCCAAACGAATTTACTTGACATAACCTGTCATATAGTCGAAGATTTTCTACACTTTGAAGGTGATTCTTTTGCAAAATTAAGCGCTTTTCTCCTTAGAACCTGTGCAGTTATTTGCTCGGATCCACTTCTTTGGCAGAATAAGGCAATTTTTGACCATGAAAAGCGAGGGCGAGGGGAGAAGCAAGGGGACACCCCTGTGACTTATGAATGAATTGGAATAGTCTTGAGATTCGACTTATTGGGGGATACAGCAGTTACCGTTAGAAAAGTCGACTTTTCCATCATTTTTGAACATTTTCGGCCAATTCCTTTTTCTTTTAGGTCGTTAACGGATTGAAGAGGATCATTAAATGTTGATAAAGTGACTTTATACACTTTGAGGTTGAACTAGAAAAGACATATGGATAATTGAAGTCTAGAGTGTCTTTGATGAATGGGTTAAAAATCGTCTTATTTTTACCAATTTTTGACCTTTTATGGCCTATTTGAATTTTTTTAGGCCCTTAGTCATCCAATATCAATTGAAAAAAGTATATCACCCTAAAATATATATATTCTAAGCTTGATATATAAAAGAATGTAAAATCAGAGGGACTGTTTTTGGATAGTTCAGTTCGAACATTGAGTGGTAATAAAATAGCAAATTTTGAAAAACCCTAAATTATGGCCTTTCAAATCATTTTAGCTCAATTTTGATGGCATGTTTAGAATCTACATAAAAATTTGTTTCAGAAACACTCTTTACAAGTACGGATTGATACAGAGTCTCGCTATGGAGAGTCAAAGAGAGGATAGTCGAGAAAATGAGAATTGCCGAAACAGGCTTTTTTGAATATCGGTAAAATTCAATTCATCTTTAGGGGTCGATATCTCGTGAACAGGGCGTCGGATGGGAAAAGTCATGAAATCAGTTCCTTAGAATGATGTAAAGGCCCCGTGTACCAATTTTCAGCCAAATCGAAGGGGCTAAGGTACCAGGCCTGGTTGAGTTGACGTGGATTGACCCTTTGAAGAAAACCAAAATTTTCAAAATGGCCGAAAATTGGTTTTCTTTTTTAGAAATCTAACTTCAAATTTGTTAATGTCACGCCAAAATACCCGTAGGTTCTAAGTTTTAGGCAGATCCATCAGCATAAAACCGAGTTGGCAATTTTAAACTTAAAGCGGTCGCCATTTTGAAAATTTCTGTTTTTTCGAAAATCTGACGTCACATTCGTTTTTCTCGTGGCAAAATTCTGCCAGATCCACTTTTTCGCGCAAATTCATCGACATGAAATCGGTGTCAATTTTCAGCCATCTTGAACTTTAAGTGGACGTTATTATGAAACACTTTGAGGTATTGGCTTCAGGTTTGCACGATCATTTTCCTTTTTTAATGCTCTTTGGAATGAGGTATTACAAGGGGGTTCTTCCCATTTGAAAAAAAAGTTGGGGTCTGTTGCCCCTCCAAGGGGGCCCCCGTAAAATTTTAGGGAGGCCAAAAAGTAGCTCCTTTTGACTTAGGAACATCCCCCAAGTTTCAAATATTTACCTCAATTAGGTGAACAATTACAGGGAATGGAAGGGACTTTTGGATCACCCTCTATATTCTTTAAACGATTATTTTCGGAATAATCCCATGCTTATGGTCCATTACTTTCCAAGCAGCTATTTAAGTTTAAAAAAAAAAAAAAACCGGTTTTCCTGTCAAAGAACCTTTTGCCAAAAATTGTGTTAAAATGAGAAATTCCTAAGGCATTGGTCAGAATGCACTTATCACAGTTTTTGTAACTGTGCTTTTTCATAATTTTGAAAAAATATTAGCTTTAGAGAAGGAGAATGGAGGGAGAGGAGCGTTTAAATAATATTTTGGAGAGGAACACTGTAAACATAATACAGCCACATGACTTTCACTGTTGTAGACCTCCGCAGTTGCGTAGGAATCTAGTATACTCTCCGCTCTCCTTGGCTTATTGCACAAACGCCCAACCAACACAATTCGCTCTCATTAATGTTGCTGACTTAATGCCTTACTGAACCAATCCATCCACGTCTGTTTCAGAGCTCTACAATTCCCCCCTGAGGGTTGGCTCCGCATTCTTCTTTGCAATGCTAGCATCAGCATGATAAACATTTCATCATCTGGGAGAGTATCTATTAGTACTTTGGGAGATGTGGGATTTATGCCTATTGAGTCGATCTCGCATACTTAGAAGGGGTTTTTTTAAAATTGATTTGGACGCAAATGTGATGGAAATAGCCTACTAGTCACTTGAACTGTATCCAAGCAGTTACCCTAGCAGGTCAATTTTTTTCCCTGTGTTGTACAAGAGTGTTTCAGTTGAATCACAAAATTTCCACAGGACTGTCATGCCTAGCAGCCATACTAATCCATATAATTTTACTATCATGAGGATGATTTAATTAGTTCTACTAATTTTGATTGGAGAGTATTTCCAATTCACACCAGTTTATTAAGTCAGTCTTGAATTCAACTAGTGCGAATGATAAGGCTATCATTTATTCATTCAATAAATACATTTGTAAGCTACAAACTTTGAGTTTCCTTTTTTCTCCTGCATCGATGTCTAATTTTGTAAAAGTATTTTTGAAACATGAAAGGCTCCGTGTTTTTACTGCTGGTTAATATTTTTTTATTCAATTATTAATGAGTGAAAAATAATGGAAAGTAGTGTGTGTTGAGAATTAATTTCAGTTTTTCTGGATGGTTCTATTGCTTCCTTTCCATACTTTGCATTTCATTCCTCAATCTTATCACTTGCGGTGTGTGGCTAAAATATAGATACCTGTTCATATCTTGAAGAAAAGTTATAGATATTGACACGAAGTGTGGAATGATCCTCCTCCAATCTCAGTTGCGGGAGACAAACACACACACACACCCTCACACACACCCCTTCTGCCCAGAAGTGAGCCAAAAAACAGCCTTTTATTGAAA